AGCCTCCCAAAATGCCGGGATTACAGGTGTGAGCCACCACGCAATGTTATGCAAGGGCCAAGGGAGGCCATGAGTTGTCTTTGGTTGTGGGGCCAGAGGGTAACTGTTCATGAAAATAGTGAGTGTATGAAGATTAAGAAAATCATGCTGCAGTGGAGGATAAGGGAGAGGAAGGCAGGAAGAGAAAGGAGATGCCTGAGGGTCTAAAGCTGAGCCCAAGCCTAAGCCCAAGCTCAAGCCCCGGCATGGCACAATTTTGTGAATTAACTCAGGCTGAGTTGCCTGCAATCTTTGGAATGTCATCTTATACTGGTAATGCTGAGGCAGAGGGCAGTAATTGGTGCTTTGGGATAGGAGAAGGGGCAGTTGCTGAAATACAAACTTAATAGCATCCCGAGTTCCTCAATTGCAGCCAAAATAACATGTGTTCAGGCCTTTGGGCAGTATCGCCCCCAGAACTACCAGCTGTAGTGTGGTCCATTCCCAGACAGCAACATGCAAGAATAAGTTTACAATACACTCAGCCCTTCTGGCTTAATATCAGGGGCTCAGAGGCTGTGACAACTCATGATGCTGAAAATGCCTCCAATGAAAATGAAGTACTAGCTCTCTGCTTCATTAAAAGCTCTTGGAAAGAATATTAAATCTCAAGACCGCAAAATAATTGAACGCACAGTACATTTTTTGTGTCTTTGTATCCAGTATATTACCTTTGTCTTATTAACAAAAATTATATCTCTCATTATATATTTCTCGATTGTGAAGTTTTTTTTCATACTCAGTAATTTCTGTGAAGGACAAATCTGTCTCTATTTTCCATTTCATTTAGAAATATACCACATTCACTCTTTTTGATGTGAACTTTCCCAGGAAATTTCTCTTGTGCCCATTTAGTTTTATAAGAGTGTCATTTTGTGCTATTACATCAATATCCTGTTTTATTTCCATTATGTTTTTCAAAAATCAAAGAAAACAAGGTTTTTCTTAAAAAGTTTGACATTTTCTCATGTTAATTCTGTATCCTGATATTTACAGCTGAAGAGAAACTATTTTAACTTAAGTGTAAGATGGTTTAGAATAGCAAATGATACAGTCCACTCAGAGTTTACAAAAAAAACATTTACCAGGTAGACACTTAATAAATAAAATAAGCACTTGGAGAAAGTTCTTCGAAAACAGACCTAGGGACATCCACTTGCATCTTTTGCACAGATTTTGTTAAGAAAAGGCCAGATCTAAAAATGTATTGTCAAGAAACAAGTAAACCAAAGCATACATCCCTAGGTATTCTAAGCAGAGGTTTATGTGGGTCCATTTAGAGTGACTGATGCAAATACCAGTTGTAGAAGCATTAATCTAAATCTTTTACTCGGCGACAGATTTCCTCTGTGAAGTCTGAGCATTTTGCATTGCCTCCCAAATCTTTTGTCAAGCTCTTTCCATCCTTAATCGTAGCAAAACACGCGGCCTCAATTCTTGCAGCATGATCAAAAAGTCCCATGTGGCGCAACATCATCACAGAACTGAGCAGGAGGCCTGTGGGATTCGCCATGTCCTTGCCTGCAACGTCTAGAGCCGTCCCATGAATCGACTCAAAAATCGCAACCCCATTGGCTCCAATGTTGCCACTCGATGTCACACCAAGACCTCCAATCAATCCTGCACACAGGTCACTAAGGATGTCTCCATACAAATTTGGCATAACAAGAACATCAAATTGGGAAGGATCTTGTACCATATTCAGACATACTGTATCAAGGTACATCTCATTAAATTGAATATCTTTACAGTTTTCTGCAACTTCCCTGCATTTTTGTAGAAAAAGCCCATCTAACATCCGCGTGATGTTGGCTTTGTGCACCGCCGTGACGTTGTTCCGGTGGTTGTTCCGGGCATACTCAAAGGCAAACTCAGCAATGGGCTTGCTCGCCCCCTCCGTCATGAGCTTGATACTCTGCACAACTCCATCAATGATCACATGCTCAATTCCACTGTATTCTCCTTCTGTGTTCTCTCGAATGGTCACAATATTTACATCGGTGTAAGGGGTTTTATAGCCTTCGATAGAGACACATGGTCGGACATTTGTATAAAGGTCAAATGTTTTGCGCAGCGGTAAATTCATAGATTGGTGACCGGCTGCTATTGGGGTCTTCAAAGGGCCTTTCAAGCCCATCTTATTGTTCTCCATGGACACTTTAGCCTCCGAAGGGATCGTCCACTTTCCTCCAGGTCCTTGAATGGCAGTGACGTTCCGCTCCTTCCACTGAATAGGTGCTTAGGCAGCATCAAAAATCTTCATAACTGCAGCTGAAGTTTCTGGGCCAATACCATCTCCTGGAATTAAAGTCACTGGCTGAACAACATCAGTAAAACCTCTGGTCACCTGTTTTGGGTTGTGGAATACCCCCAGCAGCAGAGAGACCTTGGAGATCCACCTGGGCCCAGCCATCGCTTCCCCTCCTGGCTCCACAGAGACACACCCCTTCCAATTTAAATGTTCTTCTTAAAATGCAGTTCTTGAAAGTTCATCTGGAATGTTCCACATAATGGCCATTGTAATTCTGAATTACTTTTGGTGTAATTTCCCATCAATTGAGAAGTGTGCATGAGATGGACCATAAATACAGCTGGCCAGAGTCCCGGAAGAAAGATTATTCTGGCATGCCTTTAAATTTGGATATCTTATTTTGTTTCTCATTAATCTCTGAAGAGAAAAAAATAAAATCCTATGAATCTGGTTGGGAATGTCAGAAGTTTGGACTGGTGTTTTGTTTTACAATGTACCCAGTCCAGGGTATTTGTTTTAGTTGGTGGACAATCATTGCCTTTGTTGTCCAACCCATGACCACATTTTCCCTGTTGCATGGAAATTTTCTTAAGTGTGGCAGAGGCTCTAATAGTAACCTTGCCTATCCATGGCCCGTTTACCTTCACACAAAATACTTCATCTTCAGAGACTGGAGTCCCTCATTAATGATGGCACTGCCTTAACTGGTTTAAGTTGGTCAACCCAGACCTACTGTTTGATGTATTTATTTTTGCTCTTGACAGATGTTCAGAAGTAAGAAAAGACTCAATTCACCAAAATTTTAAATCAGGCAGGCAGACCAAACAAAATATTAAACCAGGCATGCAGAAGTAAAAAAAAAAAAAAAAAAAGTACTCACCAGAAGGACAATGTTCTTATCTCATGAAGGGCTTGCCAGAAAAGACAAAGTCGTTTTTAGGCTAAGAAGGGTTTTAAGGCTTTTTATTGAGGTGACTTTATCCAAATAAGATCCTGAACCAGGCAAAAAGAAGAAATTTTCACCCAAGGGGAGACTCAACACAGTAAAAAAGGTCAGATGTGGAAACGAAGAGATCAAAGGGTTCAACAAGGGAATACCACTCATGATTTCAGGGGCTGCTGATCATTCCAAGATGAGCTCACTTTAGATCCTACTTCTGATGCCAGATTATGCCAGGCTAAAGTAACAACAGAGAAAGTAGCTCTCCAAAGAAATGAGTTTATTTAAGAATGAGCAGGGGACCATATGCATACCAAATTCAGGTATGCACACCCTAATAAACCATAGGTTGGTTGCGACAGTGTGAAACTTTAAAGACAAAAAGGACAAGTATATGCAGGGTGTTTTGAAACAAAAGTTTATTTGTTTACAGGAGCTTACTCACAGGACTTAATATGTGTACTGGCTGTTGCTAAGAGAGAGTCTTCACAGAAGGGACCCTGATTGCAGGGACTCTGATTGCAAGTTAGACCACTTGAAGTTTACAGTTAAGACTGGCTATTACTGGAAAGATGTCCTCAGAATATTAGCCTTTGTCGTGAGGTTGTGGATTGGCAACATCTTCAGTGGCAGTTCCCATCACAGGAAAGTGTGCACAAGAGCTTTTCCTTCATGGTCTGCTGACTTCATTGCATTCAAGTTTGGCATTTTGATGCTGACAACTTTCACACTTTCAGCCTTTAAAATTCTAGAACTCTTTTACTAGTCCGAGGTATAACTTTTTAATTCCTGCAGTATTCTCATACCTCATGGATTTTCTTAAATATTTTGCTGATTTTTGTCATCATCCATCTGAAACACTTCAGTGGGTTCCATTACTAACAAATCTGGTCTACTTGGCTACATACTCAGGAGTTCCAATCACAGATTCCTCAACTAAATTTCAAGATTTTATTCTCACTACTCCACTCTTGGAAACCATTTCAACAGAGCATACTAGAGTGGATGCTTTATACTGTCCTTTCCATGTCAGAATCTCCTCCATTTGGATATCCTTCTGTTCAGGTGGCACCCGCATAAGGAAAAAGAGTCACTACATGAAGATGAGCCCAGCACTTGGACCTCTTGTTTCAGCCCTCTCCCTAATTTTACTTATGAATGCATGCTTTTTTCCTTCCTCTTGAGCGTTGCATAAAAATACACAGGTGTCTTAGTCTGTGTCTGCCACTAGGACAAAATACATTACACAGGGTAATTTATAAGTAATAAAAAACTAATTTCTCACAGATCTGGAAGTTGGGAAGTCCAAGATTAAGGCACAAGGCGATTCAATGTCTAGTGAGGGCTTGTTACTCACAGAGGGGGTTTCCCACTGTCCCCAAATGGCAGAAGGGGCAGAAGGAACAATGAAATTCCCTCAAGGTCTTTTTATATATATATATATACACTTTAAGTCCAGGGATATATGTGCAGAATGTGCAGGTTTGTTACATAGGTATACACGTGCCATGGTGGTTTGCTGCACCCATCAACCCATCATCTACACCACCATGCCCGGCTAGTTTTCTATATTTTAGTAGAGACAAACTTTCACCATGTTGGCCAGGATGGTCTCTATCTCCTGACCTCGTGATTTATCTGCCTCGAACTCCCAAAGTGTTGGGATTACAGGTGTGAGCCATTGCACCCACCCCACTTCTGACTTCTTAATATCATCACCTTGGGGTTTGGTTTCAGACTTCACTGAAGTTCCAACATATGAATGGGGGATTGGAGGGTTTAATGTTCAGACCATAGTAACAGGTTAATAGAGTTTACATTAATTCTGTAATATAACTTATTTGAGCCTATGCTTAGATATGAAGTGAATAGGAGACCCAAGTACCTTCTGAGAAAGTCATTTATATAAATAAAGATTTGATTGATTTCTTTGCTGAAATGGAAGCAACCCATTTCCCCTGCCGGAAACTTACATTCCTATACATTTAACCGGTTTAGGCCTTGTCTGCCTGGATTCTGCTGTCACTATATGTTGTTTCTCCTCTTCCCTTGAAGGCTTCCCTCTGGGCTGCACAGTGAAGTCTGAAACCAAAGGCATCTGGATGTGGTGTGTGCCCCACCCCTCTAAGTCAAACCACACCCTGGTCCTTCTGGACACGGAGGGCCTGGGTGATGTGGAAAAGGTAAGACAGAGCCATAGAGAAATCTTCTTTACCCTTTGATTCTCTTTTTATGTTTTTATGCATAATATCAATCCAACTTCTCTGGCCTATTCCTGAATCACAAATCTGATTATGGAAACAAAGCTAAATTTCATTTCTGGGAACTTACTTTCTGGGTAAGCTCAAATATTTTGAAGTATTAGTGATAGATCTTCTTATTTTTAACAGTTGGATGAATCATAAAATTTAATAAATACTTACTGCATAGCAGAAGTCTAGGGCTGTGTGCTAAATACAGAATCCTGAATTTCAAAGCTCTATGCTAATCAGTGAACCAGGTAAATGCTCAGAGCCTAGTGGTGAAGACAGCATTGTGATCATTTAGAGTGCTTAGATGCTGGAAGTGAAGGCCTAACCCAATGATACAATTTAGGAGAAAGCTTCCTGGAAGACGCTGTAACCGGTGGGATTAATGGGTGCTACTAGTTAAAGTGTGTGGGGTTCATAGGCTTGAAGGTAGAAATCAGGAAAGTAGAGTTTCACTGAAATAATCTACTTTTAAATGCATAGAACAGCACCAGCTAGTCTGGCGCGGTGGCTCACGCCTGTAATCCTAGCACTTGGGGAGGCCAAGGCGGGTGTGTCATCTGAGGTCAGAAGTTCGAGACCTGCCTGGGCAACATGGTGAAACCCTATCACTACTAAAAATGCAAAAATTAGCCCAGCGTGGAGGCGGGTGCCTGTAATCCCAGCTATTCAGGAGGCTGAGGCAGGAGAATTGCTTGGACCTGGGAGGTGGAGGTTGCAGTGAACCGAGATCACATCACTGCACTCCAGCCTGAGTGACAGAATAAGACTCCGTCTTAAAAGAAAAAAAAAGAAAAGAAAAGAAAAAAGAAAAAGAAAGAAAACCATCAGCTATACTAGGAACATTTATAAAAGTTTTTGCCCAATTTACAGGGGTAGGCAATGTAGTCATCACTGACTTCTAGAACAGCGTGAGCTAGCCCCACACACAAATTTGCAAATTGGATAATTCTAGATAATTTTGCTTTATAGTATTAAGTGCAGTCTTTTCCTTTATTTATATTAGTCTGAGTATAAATTGAAAATAGAATTAGTCAGAAACGACAGAAGGATGTTACCACTACATAAATACAATATTATGAAAACCTCCATGCACATAAATTAGACAATCTACACAAAATGGACAAATTTGTTGACAAATACATCCTCTCAAGACTTAACTAGGAAGAAATTGAATCCCTGAACAGACAAATGATGAACTCTGAAATTGAGGCATTAATAAATACCCTACCAAAAAAAAAAAAAAAGGCCCAGAAACACATGAATTAATAGCTGAATTTACCAGATGTACAAAGAAAAGCTGGTAGCATTCCTACTGAAAATATTCCAAAGAATTGAGGAGGAGGCACTCCTCCCTAGCTCATTCTATGGGGCCAGCATCATCCTGATACCAAAACCTGGAGAGATACAACAAAAGAAGAAAACTTCAGGCCGATATCCTTGATGAACATCACCGCAAAAATGCTCAACAAAATACAGGCAAACTAAATCCAGCAACCCATCAAAAAGCTTATCCACCATGACCAAGTAGGCTTTATCGCTGGAATGCAAGAATGGATCAACATATGCAAATCAATAAATGTGATTCATCCCATAAACAGAAATAAAGACAAAAACTACACAATTATCTCAATAGATGCGGAAAATGCTTTCAATAAAATTCAAAGTCCATTCATGATAAAAACTCTCAATAAACTAGGTATTGAAGGAACATAGCTCAAAATGATAAGAGCCATATATGACAAACCCACAGTCAACATCATACTAAATGGGCAAAAGCTGGAAGCATTCCTATTGAAAACCAGCACAAGACAAGGATGCTCTCTTTCACCACTCCTGTTCAACGTAATATTGGAAGCCTTGGCCAGGACAATCAGGCAAGAGAAAGAAATAAAGGGCATCCAAATAGGAAAAGAGGAAGTCAAACTATCCCTGTTTGCCAACGACATGATTTTATGCCTAGAAAACCCCATAGTCCCAGCCCAAAAGCTTCTCAAGCTGATAAACAACTTCAGCAAAGTCTCAGGATACAAAATCAATATGCAAAAATAACTAACATTCCTATACACCAACCACAGTCAAGCTGAAAGCCAAATCAGGAACAAACTGCCATTCATAATTTCTACTTAGGAATACAGCTAACTAGGGAGGTAAAAGATCTTTCCAAGGAGAACTACAAACCACTGCTCCAAGAAATCAGAGATGACACAAATAAAAGGAAAAATATTCCTTTCTCATGGAGAGAAAGAATCAATATTTTTAAAATGACTATACTGCCCAAAAGCAATTTAGAGATTCAATGCTATTCCTATTAAACTACCATTGAGATTATTCACAGAATTAGAAAAAAACTGCTTTTAAAAAATTCATATGGAACCGAAAAAGAACTCAGGCAAAAAATAGCCAAGGCAATTCTAAGCAAAAAGAACAAAGCTGGAGGCATCATGCTACCCGACATCCAACTATACTACAGGGCTACAGTAACCAAAATACATAGAACTGGTACCGAAACAGACACATAGACCAATGGAACAGAACAGATAACCCAGAATTTAAGACTGCACACCTACAACTATCTGATTTTTGACAAATCTTAAAAAAAAAAAAAGAAAAGAAAAACAAGCAATGAGGAAAGGATTCCCTATTTAATAAATGGTGCTGGGATAACAGGCTAGCTATATGCAGAAGATTGAAATTGGACCCCTTCCTTAGACCATATATAAAAGTTAACTCAAGATGGATTCAAGAATTAAATATACAACCCAAAACTATAAAAACCTTGGAAATACACCTTGACCATATCATTCAGGACATAGGCATGGGCAAATATGTCATGATGAAGACGCCAAAAAAGCACTTGTAACAAAAGCAAAAATTGACAAACGGGAACTAACTAAACTAAAGAGCTTCTGCACGGCAAAAGAAACCATCAACCGAATATACAGACAACCTAAAGAATGGGAGAAAATGTTTGCAAACTCTGCATCTGACAAAGATCTAATATCCAGAATCTTTAAGGAACTTAAACAAATTCACAAAAATAAAAATAAAAAGTGGGCAAAGGACATGAACAGACACTTTTCAAAAGAAGACATACATGCAGCCAACAATCATATGAAAAAAAAGCTTAACATCACTGACCATTAGACAAATGCAAATCAAAACCACAATACAATCATGATGACACTGGTCAGAATGGCTAGTATCAAAAAGTCAAAAAATAACAGATGCTGGCTAGGTTGGGGAGAAATAGGAACACTTACCCACTGTTGGTGGGAGTGTAAATTAGTTAAACCATTGTTGGAGACAGTGTGGCAACTCCTCAAAGACCCAAAGACAGAACTACCATTTGACCCAGCAATGCCATTACTGGATATGTACCCAAAGGACTATAAATTCCTCTATTATAAAGACACATGCACGTGAATGTTCGTTATGGTGCAATAACAAAGACATGGCATCAGCCTAAAGTCCCATAAATGATAGACTAGATAAAGAAAATGTGGTACATATACACTATGGAATACTATGCAACCATAAAAAAAGAATAAGATCATTTGCAGGGTATGGATGGAGCCAGAGGCCATTATCCTTAGCAAACAGATGCAGGAACAGAAAACCAAATACCACATGTTCTCACTTACAAGTGGGAGCTAAATGATGAGAACACATGGACACATAGAGGGAAACAACACACATTGGAGCCCATCAGGAGGTGGACAATGGGAGGAGGGAAAAGATCAAGAAAAGTAGCTAATAGGTACTTGGCTAAATACCTGGGTGATAAAATAATATACACAACAAACCCCCATGACACAAGTTTACCTATGTAACAGACCCCTGTTTTGCAGTATGAAAGCCAAAACAAACTAATTCTATTTTTTTCAAAATAAATTTTTAAGTGTTGTTTTTAAGCATTTGGAAAGGAAAGAAAGAAGCCTTTATTGTGACCAAATTAATTCTTTTTTATCCCCTCAATTTCTAATTTTATTTATTTACTAAATACATATAGCACCATGTGCCAGGCACTATTCTAAGTATTCTATAAATAATAACTTGTTTAATCATACAATGACCCTCTAAAACATGTACTATTATTATCCCTAGTTGTCATATGAGGACACTGAGTAGACAGAGATTGAGTAACTTGCCCATGGTCACACAGTTACCAATGGTCAAGCTGGAATTTCAGCCAGGCATCCCATCTGTGAAATCTGTGTTCTTCACTTTGCTTCCTCCCTAAGTGAAAATTAATCTTATTTTAAAATCTTCACAGATGAGGAAGTTAAGTTATATTTTTTTTCATTTTTTTTATTATGCCTTAAGTTCTAGGGTACATGTGCACAACGTGCAGGTTTGTTACATATGTATACATGTGCCATGTTGGTGTGCTGCACCCATTAACTTGTCATTTACATTAGGTATAACTCCTAATGCTATCCATCCCCCCTTCCCCCATCCCATGACAGGCCCCAGTGTGTGATGTTCCCCACCCTGTGTCCAAGTGTTCTCAATGTTCAGTTCCCACTTATGAGCGAGAACATGCAGTGTTTGGTTTTCTGTCCTTGCAATAGTTTGCTGAGAATGATGGTTTCCAGCTTCATCCATGTCCCTGAAAAGGACATGAACTCATCCTTTTTTATGGC